AAGCCTGTCTTCAATTACCAGTCACTTCCCCAGCACTGGAAGACTACTGCGTACAAAGGCTCTGGCATTCACAGCCAGCCCCTAATGGAGAGTCATGGTGGGTACTGGCAAATTCACTGAGATTCACTGACCTTGAACTCAGGACACCTGGTTTCTGTGGAGAGTTGGGCCATACATTCTCTGAGCCTCAATTTCTCTACTCTTAAAACATGGGCAATACACATGTAAGGAAAGTATAGAGATCATCACTAAGATGTCTCTTTGTCAGGTATGGTGTGGAGGGGATTCTTGCGGAGGGGAGGTTCAAAGGGGTGCTATCCTTCGCTGTTGAGTCATTTTTCCGTCATGTCCATCTCTTCGTCAGCCCATTTGGGGTTTTCTTGGCAAAGATACTGGAGTGGTTTGCCATTTCTTTCTCCAGCTCATTTTACAGATGAGGAAACTGAGGCAAACAGGGTTGAATGACTTGCCCAGGATCACATAGCTAGTATCTTGAATCTGAATTTGAACTCAGCTCTTCCTAATCCAAGGCTACCTGCCCTAAATAATGATTCCAAATGAGTCAATCAATGTCAACTTAGGCAGGTCATTTACTTTTTCTGACTTTAGCATCTCTACTTATAAAATGGGGGGCGGGGAATGGGTGATGTCTGAGGTCCCATTTAGACTTCTAAGTCTACCGTAATGTAATCATTAAAATGAGCATAATGATACTTCACAGGATCATGCTGGGGTTCAAATAAAGTGTTTGTGGGTTGTTTTTTTGTTTGTTTATTTGTTTCTATGAAATGAAAGGAGGGGGTTAGGAAAGAGAATTGGATTAGATCTAATCTCTTCTTAATCTTTTGAGAGAGAGAGAGAAGAGAGAGAGAGAGAGAGAGAGAGAGAGAGAGAGAGAGAGAGACTGTGTGTGTGTGTGTGTGTGTGTGTGTGTGTGTGTGTGTGTGTGTGTGTGTGTCCTGGACCCCTTTGTTGGCAGTCTTGTGAAACCCATGGCTCCTTCTAAGAATCCTGTTCTTAAATACATAAAATTAAATGGATAGGATTAAAAAATAATTCAGTTATACTGAAATACAGTTATTTATATATTTATATTTATTTGTGTTTAAAATTCGTGGACCCCAGGTTACGAATGCATATTAGATGGTCAATAAGGTCCTTTTCTGCTGTGGTCATCTATGAAATTGTAGCTCAAGTTCCCTCCGTTGTTCCCCACTTGGATTAGACTGAACCTCCCCAAGTGCAAGAGTCCCAAGGGGAGGTCCCTGCTGAGCTACTGCCAGCCCTACTTCATCTTTCAGCTCGTGGCCATTCTTGGTCAAGTGAATTAAATGGCTGGGGAGGGTCTGGTCCTAACAGTGGTAGAGGACCGAACATTTCTAGCCCCAGATACCCCCCAACCCCAGTCCGACAACGACATCAGCAAGGAGAGATGGAAATAAAAGGTCAAGAAAAAAAGGATGGGAATGGAAAGCAGGACAAAAAGGAGGTGAGAGGGCCAAAAAAAGTAGAGTGAAGAAAAGAGGAAAGAGAGAGAAGTGAAATAGGGATCAATGCCAAATAGAGAAGATGGGATAGTGAGCAGAGGACCAGCCTTGCAGTCAAGAAGACCTGGGTTTGAATTTTGCTTCTGGAACTGACTGGCTGTGGGACATGCAGACATTTACTGAACATGCATTCTTTAAGTGTCTACAATGTGTCAAGCACTGTGTGAAGAAGCCTCAGTATCTTCAGTGGAAAGAGTGATGGATTTGGAATCTAAGGCCCCTGGTTCAAATCCTACTTAATTACATAATGACTACATGTCCTAAGGCAAACCATTTTTCCCTCCAGACCTGTAACATGAAGAGATGAACTGGCTGAACTTTATGGGCTTAGCCCTCGTCATTCAGCCCAACTCCCAGTGATGTCAAAATCTCAAAATCTATGAAATTCCAGCCCTGGCGTTACTCTGGACACATGACTTAAGTACTCTGGGTCTCAGTTTCCCCATCTGTAAAATGTAGGCAATGGCCAAACAACCTTTGAATTAACATCAGCACAGCATTTTAAAGTTTAAAATGTATATATGTATATGTGTGTAGATATGTGTACACACACACATGACTACATCCTTATTTTTTCCTCACAAAAACCCTGTGACCTAGGTCCTATTAGAGATGAGAATTCAGGCTACCAAAAGTGACTTTCCCAGAGCCACAACCTGGTTCTTCCTGAATAATTCTCTGTTCCCTAAACCAGCTGATTGCCTCTTTAAGGTTCCTTCAAACACAAAATCTACAATGCTCTGATCTGTAAAGGGAGGATCTCAACACCTGTAGTACTGTCCTCTCAGGAATACTGTAAGGATCCAATGAAATGATACCCTTTAGGGGGATGGGGAACCCTCGACAAATCGTCTAACCTCTCAGCATCCCAGGTACCTCTCCAAGACTGTGCAGTAGAGCTAAGGCGCTGTTCCTCCTCAGCAGGAGGGAATTTATCCAGTGACTATATGTCCCAGGTACTGCGTATGCGAAGACAAAAAAATAATCCTTGTTTTCTGAGGGGGGGAGGAAGAAAGAGGATAGCGTGGCACTGTGGAGAGATTGCTGAGTTGGTGCACAAGAATTCAAATTCTGCCCCTCATATTTATCACCTGTGTGACTGGGCAAATCACACAATCTCTGTGGGCCTCAACTTCCTCATCTGTAAAAGTTGTTGTTGAGTCATATGCAACACTTCGAGAGCCCATTTGAGGTTTTCTCTGCAAAGATACTGGAGTGCTTTGCCATCTCCTTCTCCCGTTCGCTTTGCAGATGAGGAAAGTGAGGCAAATAGAGCTAAGTGACTTGTCCAGGGTGACACGGCTAGTGTCTGAGGCTGGATTTGAACTGAGGTCTTCCTGACCCCAGGCCTGGCATTCTATCCACTGCCCAACCTAGCTTCCATGTAAAAGAAGGTGATGCCACTAATTCAATGGCGTCTGAGTTTCCTTCCCGCTTCAGTTCTCTGATTTTATGATCCCTGCCTTCAAAGAACTTATAGGAAGCCACAGATCCAGACCTCCTCCCGTCCAAAGGGTACCTTTCCTGCACTTCTTGTCGATCTGTCTGGCCAGGACAGCAGCCCTATAGAAATGTGGCTTGTGGAAAACAGAAGGTGTGCCTAATAGGCGGTAAGCTCCCTAGCTCCCTGAATTGTAGCATGGAAAAAGATCCATCTATAAAGAACACAGCAGTGGACACACCAGGGGTGGCTATACACATGAAATAATAATTATTCCAAGGCGCCACTGCCTTCCATTTCAGCCCGGTGGCAGCCAGCAGATGGTTAAAAACAAAGTCTCTACTGTCCAGTACAAGCGCAGCCTATTTCAATCAACTGATATCTTACAAGCACTCCCACGGTGTCAAGCATTGTGCTAATAGGTGTTGTCTTATTTATAATGCTTTACTTTTCGGTACCTCCAGGATGGAAAATGATGATAGAGATCTAGAGGAAGATTTATTAATACTAACAGGCCTACTGGTAGGGAGGAGCACTCTGCATTGTTCAGCTGGGAAGGGAGCAAGAAATCCAAGTCCAAAAATGTGGATCAGATTTCGGTGACCAAGTTGGGCAATCCCTGAGTCAGTGACATGGCTCCAGATTTGCCTAGTCATCTTGGGAAAGCTATATTTAACAGCTTCACTTAAAGATGACCAGTTGCCACGCTCACCCCCCTACTACCTCTCACTGCTTCTTTTAGTCTCTTTCATGCCTCTCTAATGATAACAGGACTCAGAAAAGATGTTCTGAATGGCCTCTCCAATCCAGCCCCCAAAGTGCTGTCTGTTGTTAGATCCAAACACATGAATAATTCAATCAATACATCTCTAGACCACCACATCAATCATTCAATGGTCTTGGTACCCAAGTGCATCCCCCAGGAACCTTCCCTGAATAAGGCACAGAATGTGGTTTTTCTTCTTCCTCTCCCCGATAAGCTCAGCAACAGATGCTATAGCTAACTCCCTTTTCTACCTGTCTGACCCTCTTTTCTCTGACTTTGAAGTCCATCAGGATAAGGCACCAGGCTCCTAAGACCCTCCTATTCCGAGGCTCCTTCCCTGTTCTAGAGCTAAAGTCTGATAGACAGGATGGGTTAAAGTCTGATGGTGGTGGTGGCTTGGAGGGGAAGTTTGGGCTTTTAAAGAGGGGGCTTCTCTAGACACTCTGGGGATACCCCCTAGGATGTCAGCATAGAGAAAGTAAGGGAAGAGTGTATTCTTCATTTCTCCCTCCTCCTTAAGAGCACCTGCCATTCATTAGCTGACAGGACAACAGTTACACATATGTGCACATATTACCTATGTCTTCAACTCAAATTTATAGCGTTAAAGCTGCCAGAAGGCCAAAACAGCAGGAGGAATGGGCTTCTGCTGGCTGTAAAAAGATGGGGACAGTTGGGAAGGAGGGCTAGGGGACCCAGAATCCTGTATTTCTCAGCCCACTTAAGACCCGGGAAGTGGGGGCATAGGTGTGGTCCTTGGTAAGACAGAAAAAGGAAGCAAAAGATCAGTGGGGGGGGGCAGGAGTGAGAGGAAAGAGGTGAACTCCCCACCAGGAAAAGAGCCACAGGGGACTTAGTTAGGGGTCAGCAATGACCAAGTGCAGGGGACCTCCCTCAGCTTCCCTCCCCACTCCTATCTTAAAACTCAATCAAGGATCACAGTATTAAAGACACAAATAATTATCCGGATAAAACAACTAGCCCCCAGTGCCTGCCAAGAGCTTCTGAATAGAAATAAACAGGTTATCCCTTAGAGGAGAAAGCAGGGAGGAGGGGTGGGGTTGGGGAGGGTCGAGGGGGGCTTCCCGGACCCACAGAGAAGTCTCTGGTTTCCCTCGCGTTTCTTTCCAAGCGCCCCCTCGTCCCCCAAGAGAAGCTGCGTGGCAGGTCCCGGGCTGAAGATGTCAGGCTGGCCCTCCCCCTCCTCTTCCTCCCCTACCCCGCCCCCATTCTCCCTCCTTCCTACCCTGGGGCCCAGCCCTGTCCGCTCCGCTCCGTCCGTCCGTCCGTCCGTCCGTGCGGGGCGAGATCTCGTCTCGTCAGTCTGGCGCGGAGCCCAGGTACGCGGTGGCGACGGCAGCGGTGGCAGTGCTGGTGGCCGCGGGGGACTCACTCCTGTCTTCCTTCTCCTTGCCCCCCGCTCCTCCTCCTCCTCCTTCTCCTCCTCCTCCTCCTCGGCCCCTCCTCGAAGACTCCTCCCGCCGGATCCTTCATGTAAACAACATGCAGGCAGGCTCTATTTACAGTCGCTGCCGCCGCCGCCGCCGCCGGCGGACAGCGAGGAAGCCCAGCCAGCACCCCGGGGAGGCGGGGGAGGGGGTTGGGGGGAACGAAAGCGAGTGCGCAACGCTGAGCCCCACGCAGCCCCCCGCTGGGGCCCCCTCCGCGCCCCCCCCCACCCGTGGGCACGAGCCGGGGCTCGATCCTGGGGAGGGAGCGGTGCTGCCCCCAACCGCCCCCCGCGCACGTTTGCCCGCTAGTCGCCGCGCCCTGCCCGCTGGAGCCCCGGGGGGGCGCTCCTAGGCACCGGGGGCAGTGCCAGCGGGCCAGGCTGAGTGGCGGCGAGCGGGCGGGCGCCCCTCGGCCAGGAAGCATGGTCCGGAGCTGGGGGTCTAGGGGAGTCGCTTGGACTGCCCCGCCCGCCCCAGCCCGGGGCGGGGGGGGGGCAGAGTGCGGGGGTGGCCCCTGCGTGCAGGACGACTGCCGGTTCTTTATGCGGGGGGGGGGGCGGCGTGATGAAGTGTACCCTGGCCGGGTGTACAGCCAGGGCAGTGGCCACCACATCACAACGCAACACAACACCACACTACACACACGTCCCCGCCCCCAGCGCAGCCGCCCCGGGGGGGGGTGTGTCTGTGTGCGTGAGCGCGCGCACGGAGTGACCCGGCTCCGGGCGCAGAGTGAGCTGGGCTGCGCTGGCCCGCGCTGGCCCGACCCTACAGCCGCTATGCCCAAGGTGGCCAGGGCGCGGGTTGGCGGACTGGCGGCACCCGGGCCCAGACCCCGCTGGAGCGCAACGGCTGGCGAGCCCCACGCGCGCGCGTGCATACACACGCACACACACACACACAAAACTAGGCGCGCGCGGGCACAAGCTGAGCCCCGCACACACTGCCCCTGGCCCACTGAGCCCCGGGCCAAGTCCCCGACCGACTGCCCCTAACCCACCTGCGCCCCCCGAGGGCTCCGGGCCCCCCTCTCCCTTTGTTCTTCCCGATATTTGCACGAAGATTATCTAATGACGCAGCAAAGCTCGCCACAACGTGACCGTCGCCATTTTTCTGTTTTTATTATATCTCGGCCATGTGATAGACTTAGGGGGAGGAAAAAAGAGAAAGAACAGGGGAGGAGGAGGAGAAGGGGGAAAAAAACCCTAAACTTCCGGGTCTCATGACCAGGAACAGAGAAAAACAAAAGAGGATGAGACCCAACTCCAAAGGAAGGATGTGTGTGTGTGTATGCGCGCGCGCGCGCGTGTGTGTACCGCTCCAGGTGCCCCCCAAATGAATTAGGTCCATGGAGGCATTTTTCGGCTCTGCTGCTCCGTACCTCCTGGCCAAGATGTCACAGTCTCCCTGTTGTCCCAGCCACCGCTCACTAAGGGCCACTGACCCCTGAGCTGGCGTCCTCTTCTCTTCCCTCCTGCCTCCTCTGCCCAGGGCTCTGGAGCCCCCGAATTCCCGCTGAGAAGTTTATTGCCCAGAGAGGAAAAATAACCCCCAGCATTTAAGGGGCATCGTGCTCCAAAAGTCACTATTATTATTACTATTACTACTATTATTATTATTACTTTTCCAACACGATTTTTTATGACAACTTCCTAGAAACAGCAAACGCAGTGCACTGTTTTATTGGCTCCGCTCCTTTTCGTGAGCTCCACCTCTTCACCCCACCCCACCCCCCCTCCAGCGCGCGGGCACACCCTGGTGCGGAGTGAGATGCGGCTCTGTGGGCTCCGGTGTTACTGTTGCCTATCTGGCACCCTGTCAGGGAATGATTGATTGACGGACTACGTCAGGCGCAGTTGTCAATATCCTTCAAAAAGGATGCTTAGGAGGCTCGGGGAGCTGCTAGATACAGGAGAGTAGGTTAATGTGCAATGGGGCCTATTCACTAAGAGAGGCGTCCGAGCCAAGGGAGAGGAACGCCTGAACTTTCTCCCCGAAGTCTCGGGTCTGCAGGTTTGATGCTCTAGGGGGTGGCCTACGGCGGAGAAGGCCTCCAGTGCTTGTTCACTGAATTGTTCTCTCTAATGCTTTCGCTTTTGAATCTTCTAAGTTTCACTTTCCGGAGAAGGCAGTGTGGTCACAGTGGAAAGGCCATTCATCCTCACGGGCATCAGAAGCTTTGGCTCCTAGGGCCCTTTCTGCTTCTCCTTCGTCACACGACTTCGGACAAGTGGCTGCAGGCCTCCAGGCCTCAGTTTCCTCACTTGTAAAATGAGGGGGTTTGGGGAGATGCGCAGAGATGCAGAAGGGACCTGAGAGGCCGGGTACTCCAGAGCCCTCGTTTTACAGATGAGAAGAAAGGCCCGGGCAGATTGAGCAATCTGCCCAAGGTCAGACAGTGAGAATGGTCGAGACAGAATTTGAACTCAGAACTTCTGCTTCTCCCAGTCTCCCAGGGTGCGCCTCCTTTCGACCCTTCCAGTTCTAACAATGCGATCCGATGCTATCCTGCCATCATTGCACGTTCTTTTTTACAATACTCAACTTTTTTAAATCATAGAAATGAAAAGAACTTACATTTACCTGGTTGAATTTATTTATATATAAATTATATTTATAATGGTTATTTATGCTTATATGGTTATATGTATTTACATATAAATTATATTTACCTGGTCACTCTCTCCCTCCTGGAATTGGTGCGGTTTCCCGGTTTTCCTCGGTTCAATTTGATTCCACAAATTTCTTTTGAATACCTGCAGCACTATTAGTCGTGCCGAGGGCTTGGGCGGGAAAAGGGGAGGAGTACTTACCAAGGTTAGTTAGACACAGGCCCTGCCCTCAAGGAGAGTATGCTTGGTCGAGGCGTTTCAGATGAGTAAATGCGCCCAAACCAATCTCAATCGAATTTTCTGATGTGTTAAGAATGGATCTAGTGATTTTGCTTCCCCTGCTTTCCTAGAAGGAAAATTACACACTCTTCCCAGGAAGATGGATACAGAGAAAACATTCTCAATACCACTTTTTCTCAGTGTTCTAGGTTCAGATTAACGAAGTAGAAGGAGCCTGCAGTTGACAATGACTTTGCCTATCCTGAGTCTCTCCTCCTTGTCAAGCGGATTTCTTTTTCTAGAATCACGTTTTAGCGCTGAAAAGACCCTATTGGATAATTTCATTGTATACTTCTCTTGGGGGCTTGGTGGTTTGTGGGCAGGACACACACACACACACACTTGCAGACAAAAATACAGTGGGTTTGCTTTTTGCTACTTGTTGCTGTGGGGCAGCTAGATGGCACCGTGGATTGAGCCCTGGCCTTGGAGTCAAGAAGACTTGTCTTCATGAGGTCACATCCAGCCTCAGGCACTTTCTAGCTGTGTGACCCTGGCCAAGTCACTGAACCCTGTTCGCCTCAGTTTCCTCATCTGTAAAATGAGCTGGAGAGGGAAATGGCCAACCACTCCAGTATCTCTGTCAAGAAAACCCCAAATGGGGTCATGAAGAGTCAAACGGGGACAGAACAGCAAAACGTGTTACGCTCTGATGAATTCCCTAAAAATCGGTCACCTCTCTCCCTGTATCTTGTGGCCTTTCTCCAAACTTTTCCCAATTCATCCAAATCAAATATTTACATAAACAGGATCCTTTGGGGTTTTGATTTCACTTACTGTAAACATTTGGGAAAACCTCTCATCCGTTCTGGGCACTTGGACTTTAACCAGCGACATGCACTGAAACTCTGAATTTGGAAGGAGAGAACCTGGCTTCAAATCGTGCCCCTGCAACCTTGGGCAATTCATTTAAACTCCCTGGGCCTCACTTTCCTTATCTGTAAAATGAGGGTTCTCTAAGTTTCCTCTCAGTTCCAAAATTTATGATTTCCATTCAGTTCAACAAAGTATTTATTATGTGCCTGCTGTGTGCTAGGCACAGGCAGTACAGTGTGCTCCTCATTCAGGAAAACAAATTGGATTCTCCCCCAAGTACATTTTTTGGTCATATGACTTTTATGAAAAAAGTTATACACTAAAAAATGAAAAATTTAGCTCCATCGCCCTGTCCCTTCTGGTATTTTACAGTCAGCGTTCTAGTTTACCTTGGTTTGTCTTTGTGCAGCCAGTGCCTAGAACAGATCCTGACCCGCAACAGCCCTTCAAGAACCACTTGTTGGATTGGATTGACTCCTAATCCATTTGCCCACACTCTTCTATGTTCTTCTATGTTTTGGTTCTAAATATCATACAACCGACTACAAGTCATCAGAGTAAGCATCTACTATATGGGGGATGCCATTCTCAGAGCTAGGACTACAAACATGAAAAATGATATCATCTTCCCCCTCAAAGAGTTTATCATCATCATTCATGTATGTGATGATGATATGACATAATACAACAATATTAATACTTTTATATAATAATTAATATAACAATATTAATAATATATAACATAACATGATATGACATATAATAAAACATAGCATGATATAATATAACTAATATAATATAATGTGACATAACATGACATAATATACTTGTTTCCTATTCTCCCTAATTCATTTCAATGAGTGTTTATTAAGTAGGAGCTGTGTGCCGGGCAATAAGCATGTGGCATATGAACCCCAAAAGTAAACATTCCCTCCCTAGATGCTGATGCTACTTTTTTTCTTATTATTCCTAGGTTCAAATGAATTAGTGGCCCAGAATCACAAAATCTTAGGAGCATAGAATTGGCAGTGACCTTGAACAATAGCATAATCACATGTCCAATGACTACAGAATACAATGTCCTCTTCAGCATCTCCTGCAAGGCACCCTCAACATCTGCTTTCACTCCTTCTGTCTGGAAATGTAGGCACCCACCAAGACAATCCCTTCAACTTCTAGCAAGTTCTGCTTTGTACTGAGTTGAAATTCCTGTGATTTCTTGTAATTTCTACCTGCTCTTCCTAATTGTACACTCTCCAGTTGACTAACTGCCTAAAGATAACAATGTTCTCCTCACCCAAGTCTCTTCTTCAGGCTAAATATCTCAAAGTCCTTCAGGCATTCCTCAGAGGATGTGATTTTAAGTCTCCTCACCAATTAGTCTGTATGTGACCCAACAGAATC